GAAAAATGTAGAGCTCAATAAAAATCAATAAAACAAAACAAGTCCTAGGAGAGCACAAATATTGATCCCACCCTCTTCTGGCTCATCCACTCCTGATTCTTCTACAGGAAACATCAGGGTCCCTGGGCCTTACACACAGGCTCAGGAGTTGTTTAAGAATAGATGGAGGCTTTTGCCCTTGATTTCAACCAAAATAATTACAAATTCACTCCATTTCTGGCACCACAATTTAACTCTTCCTAGCAAGGAGATCAATCGCCTCACATCACGAAGTATTAGAGCTCCCTAAGGTCACTCAATGGCTTCACTTCAAAGACAATCAGTTCATGGACATTATAGCATATTTTTATCTATTGCTGTAACAAACACACACGAGGCCTCTGTAGCTGGTAACTGAAGTGAAACTGCGTGGACAGAGCTCTCATTCTGCATGAAACCCTGTGTGAGCAGCATGTGACAGAGAAAGAGAGTGTGCCTTTTCACTTGGACATCTTAGTGAATTGGATTTGCTTGAATTATAAGTATTCTACAATAAAATTTTTAAGTTTTTCCCCCAAAACAATAAAGCTCTTCATCCAGGAAATTCAGTATCATGAATCCACATCGCACCTCTCATCTGGGTCCACATCTGACTAACATTCGCTGTCCTTCTACATCACCTGTAAAGTGTGCATCTTCCTGGGGAAAGGACGGTCATTTACATAACTGCGGTGTATTGATCAAACTCAGAAGATTCCTTCTACTAAAGGATAGTTCATTTACATCAACGGCTCATTGTTGTTACAGTGCCCAGTACTCCTTCACACAGTTACCAAGTAGTCAGGGCATGGAGGAGGTGATACCAGTGTCGGCTTTATGTGACTTGACCAAATTATCACTAGATGTCAGTTTAGTGTGTGCGCACATGCATTAAAACTGTGTGCATCTGTGTGGATTCTGAGAGACCACTAAGCCTGTAGAGCCAGCTGAGGGGCCGATACCCACAGGGAACCTACCATACTGGAGGAAGCAGCGGCTAGAACCCAGGGTACATCACACCCTGCTTCCCCATTTCACCTCCCTCCACTGAGATACAGAAAATAGCACATGGGAGGCAGAGGTCAGCCTGGTCTACAGAGTGAGGTTCAGGACAGCCATGGCTACACAGAAAAACCCTGCCTCAAAAGACAGCTCTGGCTACTCTTCCAGAGAATTCACATTTGATCCTAGCACCAGCACTGGGGCTCACAACTGCCTAACTTGTGTTCCTGGGGACCTGACCCCCTCTTCTTCCCTCTGTGCACTAGGCACACACATGGTACATGGATATACATGCAGGCAAAACACCAGATTTTTAAATTTTATATTCATATATGTATGTACTATATGTATGTACCTACATTTAAATGTTTGAAAAATGATAAAACCTTTCAGGGCCAGCAAATGACCTGAATTAATCCCCAGGACTCATGGGTGGAAAGAAAGAGAGACCATTTTAGCTAGGTATGATGATAATGCCTGTGTGTCTAGGTATGATGGTAAATGTCTATGTGTCTAGGTATGATGATAAATGTCTGTTTGTCTAGCATGCTGCAGCCTGAGGCAGGAAAACTGGAGTTTTTTAGGCCAGCCAGAACTACATAGCAAGACTTCTTCTCAAAAAACCGAAACGGGGCTGGAGCAATGACTTAGCACTTAAAACACTGCTAAAGGATTTGGGTTCAGTTTTCCAGCTCAAGCTTCAGTTCCAGAGGAGCCAATTTCCTCTTCTGACCTTTGTGGGCTTTTCATGCATATAGTGTTTAACAACCATGCAGGCAAAAAATAAATACACAAAAATAAAAATCTTACATAACTGGGGGTGGGACTGGAGAGATGGCGCCATGGTTAGGAGCACTTGGTGCTATTTGTAGAAGACTTGGTTTGGTTTCCAGTGTCCAGTTTGAGGCTCACAATCTAGAACTCCAGTCCCAGGGGATCTGAGACTCTGCAGTCTGATACACGCACATGGTACACATGCACACATGCAGGCGATACACACAAACCACTACATTTAAAAAATTTTAATTTTTTGAGGCAGCATTTCTCTGTAGTATTGGTGCCTGTCCTGAAACTTGCTTTGTAGACCAGGCTGGCCTTGAACTCACAGAAATCTGCCTGCCTCTGCTTCCCAAATGCTGGGATTAAAGGCGTGATTCACCACTGCCCAGCTCTCAAAAAATTAAATAAGTGTGCCTGTGTTGCAAGGAAAAATATGAAGGATTCTTAAATTTAAGGTAGTTAAGAATTTCCATGTTTTCAGAAGATGTTCATATCCTTTCATGATTAGAGAGAATGTGGAAAGGTGGTGGCTACTGCCACCACAGTTCATTTGTGGAATTGCAGATAAGTTCAACTCAATGAAGGGTTGAACCAGGCAGGAACCCTGGTTTCTCAGAAAAAGTCAAAAGCATTCAGGGACCAGAAGAGGTGTCTAAGTCCTGTATTGGAAATGGTTTGGCTAGATCATAAGAGGACGGTAACTATGACTATCTAATCTTCAACACTATCGAAGGCCTGAGAAGGGAGATAATATTACTTGAGCAGGCAGGAAGTACAATCAAGTAGCTTCCAAAGCGAGCAATATATGAAAAAGGCAATTAGCTCCAAGGACAGTAAACATGGTGACCCCAGGTTTTAGGTGATGGCTGGTATCAAAATAACTAGCTTCTGAAGCTATGTTGTGGCTTGCAATGAGACTAAAAAGGGAACTCACATCACAGAAGAGCATTTGCCCCACCTGCTGAACCCTGGGTCCTATCAGTTCTGCTTAGTCACAGCTCTCCTGCAACTTTGCCCCTCCCACCAAGCTCCCGCCTATAAATCTTAAAGTTCAAATAATTGTCTAGGCAGAGCCCACATATTCTGCTTCCTGCACACAGTGCATCCCATAGCAGCACAGACTCAGGCCTCAGAGCTGATCATGCCGTCCTGCAAACGTCGTGGTTGGCTGATTGCTGGAGCCTGTGCACTTCTGTTAATTGCTGTAACCTGTGGGCTTGTGTTTCTTCTCCGCGCGCATGGTGAGAATCCTTACGTGGGTGGTGGGGGCCAGAGTGGCCAATTTTGGCAGAGGCAGAGGCTGAGGCTGTGGTAGGGAAGGTAGCAAGGGAGGAGGAGCAGGTAGAGATGACAGAGTGGAAAAGTGGCCCCTGTAGCCCAGAGAGTCAGTGATGTCTGAGGAGACTCAATAGTACAGAGGGTTACTCTGCCAAGCCCTGGGCCTGAAAGTCAGAAGGAAGAGTGTTGGGGACAGAGGGACAGATGGGTCATGTCCCTTTCTGTATAGGGTTGTGCCTGTGACTGTAGGTCTTACTGACCCATGGGTTATAATAAAATGAATTACACCTTCCTACTAGCATTGAACTCCAAATGGGTCACCCTCTCAGACAGAGGAAGCATCACGGTATACTCCAAACAATCCTGGGAAATTTTCCTGGCCCTCAGTCATACAGTTCTCCAGCCCTACAACAGTTGCCCAACTGAGAGGCTTGTGTTCCCTTTTCCATTTTCTGACCTTTGGAAAAGGTACAACTTGGAGTCCGAGGCAAAGGGCATGTGCTCCCTGTCTGCCAGAAAGTCTTCAGGTTTATGAATAGGTGAGCCAGGAAGGTACTGTGCCTGGGGTCAGTGTGCAGCCCTGAGGCCTCCTACCCAAAAGTGTTCAAGCCTGAGTCATGCTGACCTCCTGCCAGGCCTCCGCAAACAGATTTACCCTAAGGAGGCCATAAGGACTTCACACTGTGACTCTTCCCTGCTGTTGTCCAGGTTCTGAGATGTCCCCAGGGTCTCCTGGATGGGAAGATCTGCCCAACCCACTCTTGGCTTATTTGAACATTCTTCTTTGGATCCTGGGTTCAGAATCACTGATAACTATAAGAGGGCACAGAGTTGTGCACCATTCAGGCCAGGCTCATCCATGGAACATCAAGATAAGATAGGTGTGAGCTGCTGTAATGGCACACACCTGTAAATGGTGGTCTAGATGAGGCAGAGAAAGTGGAAGGCTTTTCAGCTGCAAGCCAGCCTGGGCTACACGGCAAGAACCTGTCTGGTGGGATGGTAAATGTAGAAATGTTCAAACAGAATACCACAACAATTTCAGCATCGGTGATAATCAAGATAAGGTGGACATCTAGAAGTAAACTTGGTCAGCAATGCTTACCATAGCAAAGTCAGGAATTTAAAGTATCACATAAAAGATCAGATGGTAATCCAATTAATGGTGACTTTTAGTTTTAAATATGATATAGATGACATTAGCAGAGATTTAATTACAGGGAATTTTCTGCAATTTTTTTTTTTTTACTTTTCATGGGCCCCCTTTTTCCACATACAGCCATTATAAAGACACAGTAACTCTTGAGAAAGCTACACGTGTAATGAGAGATGTGTTATCCTTTCCCCACATGCCACTCAAAATCAGAATCTCTACTTAGCTGAGGGGGGGGTGGACACCTATAATCCCCAGCACTTGGGAGGCAGAGGCAGGTGAATCTCTGTAAGTTCAAGGCCAACCTAGTCTACAAAGAAAGTTCCAGGAAAGTCAGAGCTTTAACACCAAGAAACCTTGTCTAGAAAAATGAGGAAAAAAGAGAAAAAAAGAATCTCTGCTTAATAAACTTCAACTGTTTCATTTAAAAATTAAAAAAGAAAATGTGTGCACAGTTTTTATTTTTAATATATTTGTCAAAAATGTCCCTTTCTGGGCTGTTTTCCTGCCTTCTGACTGAAAGTACACTCACTCCAATAGGTGGGATTCCATGGAGAGCTTTTCTTGGGGGTGAAGCATCCTGGCTGTAGCCTGACTCTTAGCAAACCCATTTCAGCAGGTTTTGCCTGTTGCTGTATCAATGACAGATTCTAGTGGCCCATGTCCTCAGTGATCTATATGGACAGCTACGGCATCTGGCATAGTGTCCCGTAGAGAGCGTGTCACTGGAGATAGGAGTGAGTTTCCAGTACTGGAAAGATGGTGGCAAATGGCCTTCTACTCCCTGAGAGTGGCTGCTGCCTTGGCTACTTGTTACCTCACCAAGAAGCATCAAGCATGCAATCCATGTTTATCTGGTGTGGAGGATTTTTACCTTTTATGGAAATACGGCAGGTCTGCCAAATTCTTCCACACTGGAACATGGTGCTGTGGAGACAAGTTGCCAGGGAGGTGGGTACGTGGAAAAGGCTGATTGAGGAAAGCAAGAAAGAAGTAACAGCCAGAGTTCGAGACCAGCCTGGTCTACAGAGCTAGTTCCAGGACAGGCTCCAAAGCCATAGAGAAACCCTGTCTCGAAAAACCAAAAAAAAAAAAAAAAAAAAAAAA